ACACAAAAATTGGAGCCCCGGGAACCCCGCCGCCCACCGAACCCTGCCGCCCACCGAAATATGCCTGGAACCAGAAACCGGGAACTGGGGAACCCAGAACTGGAAACACGGGAACCCGGCCGCCCACCGAAATCGGCCCGGCATTTTCGCCAAATTCTTCGATATCCGCCAGGACCCCTTCAGTGCAGGCACTGATTGGGGACAAAATCCACTAATTGGGTTTTCTCTATTCTAATTTAGTTTAGGTCGACCGACTCTGAAATCTTTCGTGAGATCGAGAGTGAGATCGGTAGTGATAACGATAGTGAGATCGATTGAATGAGATGGATGGTAAGATCGATAATGAAATCGATAGTGAGATTGACCGGGAACCTAGGGACCCGGGAATCAGAAACTGGACCCGAAGGACCCCGCCGCCCACCGCAATCAGCCCAGAACCTGCAACCAGGCACCGGGCAACCCGGAACAGGGAACCTCGGAACCCAGCCGCCCACCGATACCGGTCAAGAACTTTGGCCGAATCTGTCAAGCACTGATTGGGGAATCACTGTCGATCCCACTATCGATTCCACGGTAGATCTCACGAACGATCTCAGGATTGCACTCACTACCGGTCTTACTCTCGATGCCATCATCGATGTCAGTATCGATCACACTATCGATCTCAATCTTTCTCACTACGGATATCACTGTTGATCTCCCTACAGATCCCACTGTCGATCTCACTATCGATCTCACCATCGATCGCACTCAATCGATCGTACTATCGATCTCGCTATCGAACACAAGATCAACTCACGATCAATTTGAATATAGATCCCACGCAACCGACGACATCACAACCGATCTCAAGATCGACATATCTATCGCTCTCACGATCAATCTCGCGGTCGGTCTCACTCAATCTACCTCACTACCAATCTTAACATCGATTTCGCCATCGATCTCACGATCGATCCCACTATCGATCTCAATTTCGCTGGCACAATATAGCATAGCATTCGACATAGCACGGGACACCCCCGCGCCACGGGACACCACTGGACACCATTGGGGACACCATCGGGACACTTTCGGGACACCACAAGGCTACTGCTGGCCAACCCGGTGGACAGCAACGTTTGGTTCGGCTTCGCCCTGGCAACGGCGGGTTCATTTCTCTCGCCCGCCCACGCAACGTCCCTCGCCCACGATGATAAAGGCATGATGAGAGAGGCGGAGTAGAGAGATAGAGAGAGGGAGAAAAACCATACACAGAAATTGCGTGTATGTATGTATGTATGCATATCTACTTACGGGCGGGTTATTGCGCACAGGACGCGCGACAGGACACAAGACTCTTCCGACGGCAACATGGCCTCCAAAACCACAGGACACAAGGGTACCCTGCCGAGGCCGCGACCGCGGTTACCCGCGGCCGACCCGCAACCCCGCGACGGGCGGCGCACGCCAGACAGGACGCCAAGGGTATCCGACAGGCCGCGCCGCTCGCCGCGTGAGAAATCTTGCGTGGCGTGTCGCCCGCGCCTACCCACCTTCGGGGGCGATCGCGCGACCTGTCGCCATGGCGGAGGACGACCTACTAATGGAACCCGACTGTATAGCACCCCGCATATGCGGATAAGAGCGAGAGGGGGGTGGGACGTCGGCAGTCTCCGAGACCCTGGAGGAGCCCGTCGCAGGCGCCAAAGTTTGACACATTATGCAACGAACCCGCCGCAAACGCAGATTTATTCGTTAAACCAGTGTGGGTAGGTCGCGGGTGGGCCGCGGGTGGGTCGCAAATGGGTCGCGGGTGGGTCGTGGGTGAGTCGCTGTTGGGTCGCGGGTGGGTCGCGGGTGGGTCGCGGGGTGGGTAGCGGGTGGGTCGCGGGGTGGGGCGCTGGTGGGTGGCGGGTGGGTCGCGGATGGGTTGCGGGGTGGGTCGCGGGTGGGTCGCGGGGTGGGTCGCGGATGGGTCGCGAGTTGGTCGCGGGTGCGGTGCGGGGTGGGTGGCGGGTGGGTCGCGGGTTGTGTCGCGGGGTGGATCGCGGGCTGGGTCGCGGTGTGGGTCGCAGGGTGGGTCGCGAATGGGTCGCGGGTGGGTCGCGGGTGGGACGACGACGACGACAAACAAACAAACAAACAAACAAACAAACACACAAATAAACAAACAAACAAACAAACAAACAAACAAACAACAACAACAACAACGCAACAACGCAAAAAACATAATCCTAACCGCGGATCCCCAGTTCAGCCACGCACCCAGGGATGATGAATGACCGCTCGGCCCCCTCACTCTGGTATATGCGTGTACATTATATACATATATACACATATACACACCTGTATGTACGAGTGTACGTATGTATGTATGTAAATGTTTATGTATGTATGTATGTGTGTTTGTATGGCCTCCCCCAAGACTGGACTCCCCATGATCCAGGGCTTTGGGGCCCCCTCGGCGCCCCTGGAAGACCTTGCCCAGCCCTGCCGCGCCTCCGCCTTGCTTGGCCGTGCCCAGCAGACCCAAAGCGATCAGATGGTCGAAGAGGCGCAGGAGAGCCCCAAGACAGCGCTAGATGGCCTCAAGACGGCCCCAAAGGCCCCCAAGACGGCCCAAGAGGCCCCCAAGACGCCTCAAGAGGTCTTCAGGAGGGCCCCTAAAATGCAAACTTCTTCCACACGGCTGCCGCAACATCACTCACATCACATAGCTTACGCCGCAAGTCTTTCACCGACCGCCGGAGCTCAACACCTCACTCGTCGGGCTCTACGATGGCTCATAGATTGGTTGGTATTATGCCAAGGGGGCAGTTGGAAGCCGCCAGAAAAACAAATCCTGGAGTGGAGAGAAAGACCCCCAAGAAACAACTTGTCCTCCGTAGCGGGACGTTTACGTCGTGTCAACGCGGCGGCGACGCTGGCGCGGGCGCTCGGACTGAACGCGGCCAATGATCAGGAATCGGCGGGTGTTGAACGGGAATGCGCGATGGTTCACAGCTGAACAATCCAAGCGGTGTCAAGCATCGGCGCGCAGGCAGTTACGACACCTGCCGGCGCAGGACCCAGCGAAGAGGGCGCGCGATTTTGGTATAGTTTTTTTGTGGAGCCTCTAGGTGGCGTTCTCGTCGCCACGTCATCGGGCCCGCCTCGAACTTCGAATCACAACGCACCCCGAGAAAAATTCGGTGGCGCTCGAACATGTAAATCGAGAGCGAGAGCACATAAGAAACGGGTGAGGAGACTTAAAAAGAAACGGCAAACTTTCAAAGGCCAACGTGGATGACGCCAAGTGCCAACATATGCGAAACTTGATTGAAGGAGTAAGATGCGAGGTGCGAACCGCAAACTCAGACATGTATATATATATATATATGAGTATACCGACATATATATGTACAGGGAGGTCTGGGGAGTGATACAGAGAGAGAGAGAGAGAGAGCGAGAAACAGACAGAAAAGAGGGATAGAAAGAGAGAGAGAGGAACACATAATACCTATACGACCACCCGTCAGATGATAAGGAGGTTGGGGGGGGGGGGAGAAACCAACTGACGACAATTGCGATGGCGGTGATGATGACGATGCTGGTGGTGCGCCATCGGGTTGGCGACGACGCGTGGTGACGATGCTGCACCGACATTCATTATCGATATCATCACTGATCTCGCTGTTGCTCTCACTCGATCGATCCCACCATCGCTCTCACTCGACCGATCTCACAATCTCACTCTGGATCTCACTAGTGATCCCACTATCGACCTCACTGTCGATCATCGATCTCGCTACCGGCCTCACCATCGATCTCCCCACTGGACACCACGGGACACCGACGGGACTCCGACGGGACACCGAGAGGACACCGACGGGACACCCGCTGGACACCGACGGGACACCACGCGGCACCAACGCCACACCATCGGGACACCAATCGATCTCATCGTCGCTCTCCCTGTCGATCTCACTCGCTCGATGTCGCTTTCGATCTCATCCGATCGATCGCACTATCGATTCCACTATCGCTCTCCCTACTGATCTCACTATCGACCGCACTATCGGTCGCACGATCGATCTCACCATCGATCCCACCACGGGACACCACAGGACACTGACGGGACACCGACGGGACACCCGCGGGACACCGACGGGACACCCACGGGACACCACGGAACACCATCGGGATACGATCGGGGCACCAATCGATCTCACTTTCGATGTCACGATCGATCTCACAATCGGTCTTATTATCGAACTTATTCGCTCGATCTCACTATCAATCTCACTATCGGCCTCACTAGCGATCTCACTGTGGATCTCACTATCGATCTCACCACGGGACACCGACGGGACACCCACGGGACACCAACGGGACACCGACGGGATATCGACGGGACAGCCGCGGGACACTAACGGGACACCGACGGAACAATGACGGGACAGCGATGGGACAGCCACGGAACACCGACGGGACACCACGGTGGGACAATCCGGCCATCGCCCGCACACTGCAGGGGAAAGGCGGACAGGACAGCGACGGGACATCGCGGCGGGACACCGCCCGAAACCGCCCGCCCACCAGGGGGCGGATCGGTCAACGGCTCTTGCCCCGCCCTAGCCACAGCGGAGTGATTCCTTTCGACGCCCACACAGCTTCGCCTCGCCCGCATGCACGGCACGAACCCCAAACCGAAACAGATTTCCCGGTGGGGGGCTCTCCGTTCCACTTCGATCTCACCCACCAACCTCCGAACTAGACTGGACTAGAACGTATAGTCGAATTAGACTAGCACTGATTGGGGTTTTCGCTTCCCGAGGCCCTGGGCCGGTGGTTCGAAGATTAGGTCCTGAGTGATGGGGTCCTAAGGATAGGAAGGGATTCAGGGCTGGATTTGCACTGTTTCGGGCACCTCGTCCTCAAGACCCCATCCGTCAGGACCCCATCTTTGAACCACCGACTCCGACTGGGGGGCACGACCCCTAAGCAGTGGACGTGGGCATACGCTTGCGGTGGACCGCCTGCACGGAGGTGAAGGGGTCGGACTTGCCGCCCATGTCCAGGGCGGGGAGGCCTTTGGCGCTCAGGATGCAGATCTTGAGGAATGGCTGCCGTGGCAGCAGCTCGGGGAAGCGGATGCTCATGAGGTAGTACAGCTGCTTGAACTCTGTCATTGACAAGAAATGCGAGTCTGCCGAGAAGGCATCGAAGGCAAGCCGCACTGTCGTGCGGAATGCCTGCTCGCCCAGCCTGTCCTCGAGGCCAACTGTTCGGAGCGTCTCCGTCAGCGAGCCGCGGCACAGCATGCCTGCGCCATCGATGTCCTGCGTGCGGAAGAGGTTCTCGACGTCGAGAACCTGGATCTCGCTCAACGTCAACTGCTTCCGCTCCCGGGTCGTGAATTCCTCGATCCGCTGGGCGCACGTCGTAGTCTTGGGCCCCTTCCCGTCGAGCCTTGTGACGGCGACATTCTGGCGCTTCCCATAAACTCGAGCAGCCATGCCGCCCGTCAGCCGAAGGGGCCCTTCAAGGCTCCTCCGCTTTGAGCCCCAAAGGCCATGGACGACGATTACGGCGGTAGTGCTGATGATGTTACTAGGCGTGGTGACAGTGACCATGGTTGTGATGAAGGTTCACGCAGATGGCCCGCCCAATATTGTAACATGTTGTCGTAGTTCCCCATGCCACACGCTCGAGGGGGGCGAATGACCAGGAGCGGGAGGGCAAGTACATCGAGGGACTACAGCAATGAGTTGTACGTTTGTGCTGCCTCCTTCTTCTCTTTTCCTCTCCCTGCTCCCCGGTTCCCACTCCTCAGTTGCACCTGTCCTGACTCACTGTTCCTCACTCCCCGCTCAACATTCCCCTTGTATACCAGTAGTCGTGTTCCTCATCCTCCTGCATATAATCACTCTGGTGAATTCCGAGCATGTGTGACAGTGCCCTCCCATCTCCTTCTGCTTCCCACTCCCCTCGCGCTACAGCGCTGTCCATTTCTCAAAATCCGTCCCCTTATCTTCTTTTCAGACCCATGCGCCTCTCACCAGCACTACTAACGTTGGGCCTGGTTCGACGTTGCCCGCCTTCGGGGAAAGCGTGGCACTGTCACGAAAGAAGATGACAAATGAATCGCACTGTTTGGAGATGGGGAGCATGGGCCTTGGAACGATAAGCTTATTGGTGATACTACTTGTGAGATTGCTGGTGGGACCACTGCAATGGGAAGGCACGATCCCAAATGAATAACGCCATTGGCGATGGCGGCCGCGATCCCACACGGCTTCCGAGGCGGGGGAGGCGTGGTATTGGTGAGACTACTGGAGTGGCAAGGGCACGACCCCGGGATACATCAAACTGTTGGCGATTACGGGCCCGCTTCCGCACGGCCTCCCCGGAGAGGGAACCGTGTCGCTGGTGATACTCTTGGATTGAGGAGGGTAGGATCCCTGACAACATGGTACTGGTGAGCCTGTGTGCCTACTGAGGTGACAAGGGCATGGTACTGGTGTTGGCGTGGTACTGGACAGAGTCGTCGATTGGGGCTCGCTCACGAGAAAGCAGCGCTGGTACAATATGATGCTGTTGAGTCGTCGAGTGGGCGGAAAGCTGAACTAGAACCGTCGCGCACGCTGCGCGCGCAACGGTTCTAGCGCAAACCAGGGGTAGTGAGAATAGCTCAGCCAACGTCATCTTGTCTCCTCCCTTCTCTTGCCTCTCTTCGCCGTTCTCCGATTACCCTCCTCAGCAATCACGTCCTCCTCCTCCTCCTGCTCCTCCTCCTCCTCCTCCTCCGTGCTGTCTCCTCCACCTCGCGAGACGGAGCGCATGCGGGAGTAGTGAGTAGTAGCGACGCGACTGGGGGAGCATGGGTGTCGCATGGCTGCTCTGGGTAATAGATATCAGCCAACGTGGACCCCAAACAGTGATTACCGACAACATGTGAGGTGCAATCTACGTGGTGCAATCAATGTGGTGCGATCTCCGTGTTGTGCAGACTATGTGGCACAACGCAATGCAAAACAAACGCAAAGCAACGCAAAGCAAAGCAAAGCGATGGCAAAGCAATGCAGAGCAAAGCAATGCAGCACAATGCAACGCAATGCAAAGCAATGCGCAGCAATGCAAAGCAATGTACTGCAGTGGAAAGCAACGCAAACCAGTGCAAAGCAATGCAACACGATGAAACACAATGCAACGTTTTGCAAAGCAAGCAATGCAGAGCAAGCAAGCCTCATAAACACAACCCTAGCTTTTGCACGATGTTGACCTCTTCGGAGGGTGCTCGGGGGGATCAGGGGCACTTGGAGCGATGCTGGGGCCGTCCTGGGGAATCCTGGAGGTCGTCTTGGGCAGATGTGTAAATCTGTGCGGCCTCCTGGCTCCGTCCTGGCCTCTTGAAGCCGAGATAATCCTCCTGATGCTCTGGGGGGAAGCGCCTGGACCCCCCAAGACGAGAAAGGGATGCGGGGGAGGGGGGCGGGAGCTTTGAAACCAAGGGCCGACCCCGGGGCGGAGGACCCGCTCCCATGTTGGATGATTTATAAGGAAACATGCGAAATGTGGATTGCAAAAAAGCGAAGGATTGCAAAACAACGAAGGATTGCACGAGGGTTGTTTTGCAATCCTTTGCAATCCTTTGCAATCTGGGTTTTTTTTGCAATCCTTCGCTGAAAAAGAAATAAGATGCCCTGAGAAAACAAGAGCCCCGAATTGAGCCTCGGAAAAGGATCCTTCGTGCTCGCGAGACAGCAGGGAAGAAACGATTCCGGCGACGGTGGCACTGGGGCGATTGCTGCCAACAAAACCCGCCATGGCCCCTATAGCCGCGCAGCGCAAACTCTCTGGCGGCCGCTGGCTCGGGACCGTCTCCGCTGGGAGCCTTTACCTGTGCGCTAACTTTTCATGCGCCGACTTGGCACTATTTGTTCTCTTTGTTTGTCGCGCCCTGGAGAGCGCGACTCGCGGCAGACAGGCCGTGCATATGCTTTTGCCGAGCTGCAGGAGACGCCAGACGCCCTTGCTGGCGAGAGTACTCCGGAGAGACTCGCATGCACCGACTATTCATAGCCGAATCGTGCGCAGCGATGGCGGAACAAGCAGCTGGGTTCAGTGCTCTGCGTTCGTCATATAACCGTGGGGGAGGGCTCGTCCCCTCGACGGGGGCTACCCTCGGGGGTCCCAAAACCGTGCGCTGACGGTTCGCGCGGTGACCTCGAAATCCTGAGGCACCTCAGCGCGCGGTCCGTCACCGCGCGGGCTTGGGACCTCGGAGGCTCCGATCGCCCGAGACGTCCTGGGAGAACGGCCCGAGTCCGGGAAAAAACCATGCGGTGACCCCGCAGCCCCGCCGACCTCACCACGCAGTGTGGTCACAACACCGCTCAGGGGCCCCCGACAGCCGCGCCGCGTCGGAGGCTGCGCCGTAGGGCGGAGTGTTGTTGGCGCGCGGTGGCTGTCTCTCCGCCGGAGATCTGCTTGGGGCCGTCGGTCGGGGCGGCAGCCCACTCCCCAGAGCTCATCAGGAGACGCAGGGCCCCCCTCGATCTCCACCTCCGGTAGTGGAGCATGAGAGGATCAGCGAGATTGTTTCCACCGTCGGTCGGCCTCCCACCGGTTGCTTGGTGGGACTCTGCTATAGGGCCTGCGCGGCTACAGGCTCGAACCGAAAAAAAACTATGGACATCGCACTGCTCGCTGCTGGGCGGGGCTACCTGTGACAACTATGTCTTGGGCGGGCCCCGTTCTTAGCAGCAACAGCACACCACCTACCTAACCACATGCCGCAGAGAATAAACACACAGGGAAATAAAGTTCGGGGTCACGGGGGGATAATAAAAGTTGCCCACCAGAGGCCAGCATAAACAAGTTCAGGGGGGCACGGAGAGAAGGAGAAAGGCTGAGAGAGAGAAAGAGAGATAAATAGGAAGAGAGAGAGACACACAAAGAGAGACAGTGACAAAGAGAAAGAGAGAGAGAGAGGATAGGAAGATGCGAAGGAGGAAAGACAAATCCAAAGTTCAAAACTTATTAGATGTTATTTGTAAGCGCTTTATGGAAATTGACATGTTCATCTGCTCGTGTAGTCCCAGGATAATCAACCACAGCGATAAACAAGTTCAGGGGGGCACGGAGAGAAGGAGAAAGGCTGAGAGAGAGAAAGAAAGAGAAAGAGAAAGAGAGAGAGAGAGAGAGACAGACAAAGAGAAAGAGAAAAGAGAGGAGAGGAAGATGAGAAGGAGGAAAGAGAAATCCAAAGTTCACAACTTATTAGATATTATTTGTAAGCGCTTTATGGAAATTGAAATTTTCATCTGCTCGTGTAGGGTAGCTCATGTGCCTCGTTTTCCCAGGATAATCAACCACAGCGATAAACAAGTTCAGGGGGGCACGGAGAGAAGGAGAAAGGCTGAGATATATAAAGAAAGAGAAAGATAAAGAGAGAGACAGAGAGAGAGAGAGAGATACAAAGAGAGACAGCGACAAAGAGAGAGAGAGAGGAGAGGAAGATGAAAAGGATGAAAGAAAAATCAAAAGTTCAAACCTATTATATTTTATTTGTAAGCGCTTCATGGAAATGGAAAGTTTCATCTGCTCGTGTAGGGTAGCTCATGTGCCTCGTTTTCCCAGGATAATCAACCACAGCGATAAACAAGTTCAGGGCGCCAGGGGGAGGAGGAGAAAGAGACAGAGAGAAAGAAGAGGAGGAAGAGGAGGAGGAGGAGGAGGAAGAGCAGGAAGAGGAGAGAAGGGAGAGGAGCAGGAGGAAGAGGAGGAGGAGGGGAAGGAGCAGGAGCAGAGGGAAGTAACCTCGATGGCGAACTTTTCACAGTGATAATGAAGTTCGGCCTCCGCGCTCTCCGCCTACATTTGAAACCCTTCTAGGCCGACGATAATCAACTCAAATGACTTAAGGGGTGGGGGGGTATTATCTGCGGCATGGGGTTACCCTATCCACTACATCCGACGTCACGATTTTGTCATGTCGACCCCCAGAGGTCTCGACCCCTTGACCCCTTCCCCAGCAACTTGGGCACACAACGCAGTAGGAACGTGGAGCCAGGTGGAGCCCAACAAGTATAAACTCCCGTGGGGGAATTTGCAAGATAAGCGTGGGCAACATATGCCAACAGAGATCTGCCCCCACATTTTCGGACCCCATAGCACAGCGTTTTCTCCGTCGTTCACGTGGACCACCAGAAGTCTGAGAGAGCGACTTCTGTGTACGATTCACTGGTGGCAGAATTCCAAACGACATCGACGACGACGACATCGCAGTCGCGGTCGCCGTCGCCGTCGCCGCCGCCATCGTCGTCGTCGAAGCCGTCATCGTCGTCGTCGTTGTCGTCGTCGTCATGGTCGCCGTCGTCGACGTCATCGTCGAAGCCAGCATCGTCGTCGTCGTGGTCGTGGTCGTGGTCGCCGTCGTCGTCGGCGAGATGGTCGGCCAGACGGGCACGTCGTTCTCGCCCTGCAATCGGAAGAATCACGGTCATCGTCGTCG